CATGAACAGACTTGACTTGACTTGACTAGGCATGAACAGACTTGACTTGACTTGACTAGGCATGAACAGACTTGACGAGGTATGAACAGACTTGACGAGGTATGAACAGACTTGACATGAACAGACTTGACTCACCAACAGCAGAGTTACAACTTCAATACACGACAAGGGCACAATGGGAACATGAAGCTACTTATAGGAAACAAGAGGGTCACATGACAAGAACAAACCAATGGGAAACAAGACACATGACTAAGACAACCAATCAGAACATGACACAATGAACAGGGGAACCAATGGCATGAATACATGAGGGCAAGGGAAGCATGACACAAACAGGGACCATGAAACAATTACAAAATAAAAGACATGGAAAACATGAACATGAAACAACCCCCAAAACACCACATTACAATAATATGTGTTTGAACCCATTACATTCATTTTTTTTTAAGTATGCTAAAGTATACTTTGTTTCACAAGGGATCAGAGCTGTATGTTTTTTTTTTGTTTTGTTTTTTTTATCAATTTGTTTACATGAAGTGATTTCAATAAAATGCATCATACTTTCCAACTCTTTACGAGAGAACAGTTTTGGACAGTGTGTTTGAGTATTAAATCATTTTGCAAAACACTTTGGCAAAACTCGGTGATCTAGTGTTTTGTCATACTTCACTGCTACTGGAAAAGCTGCACTTGGCAGCTAAGCTACTGTTATGCTACCAAAAAATTTTATTAGGTTATTTGGGACGCTATTTTAGTTACTTGCTCCCCAACACTGTTACTGAATAAGTGAAATCAATGCCGAATTAATTTAGATGGTTTCCAAAAGAGAAAAACATTTGCTAAGAATGGATAACAAATAGCATTCGCTTATTTTCAGTTAAATTGTGTCACTTACACTTTTATTCCACTCAAGCTTGGAACAAAGTGAATTTGTAGTGGTATCGAGCCCTCAGAGCACAGTCATCTGAGCTCAGTCAGAGCTTTGTTTGTGTCAATTAGTGCAAATGTGTACTTGACAGCGAGCTGCCATCTCCTCCAGATACTCATTTCCTCTGCTAGATCTCCTGTGGACACATAAGTACGTCTTTTCCTCCGTGCCCTCTCCGGCATCCTGGCGTTCAGACTCTAATGGAACCCTCGCGAACAGAATCCGCTCTAAATTTGTCCATCATAATGAAGAGAGTGAGATTTGATAGAGAAACCGCGTGCACCTATTCAGGAAAAGTGCATGCGATGCCAGCAGTATACAGTGGGTACGGAAAGTATTCAGACCCCCTTAAATTTTTCACATGCAATTCCATTGTAATACGAGCGAGAGGAGGATTATAATTTTATTATATATCTGTCTGAAACATAAGCTCTGCTCCACTTTGTCCACAAGTGCCAGGGAATCTATTAGTTTAAAGTACCAGTTGGCCTGTGTACACACTGAGTGTACACAGGGGGGGAGTTGGTCCGCAGCCCTGCCAACTGCTGATTTCCTCGTTTCTTTGCTGCTTTCCTTGCTGGAGAGGGATTACTATTGTAAAGTGATATTCGGAGAAACCTAAAGTCATCTTCAGTCTGCCCGTCGAGTGTTAAGTTGAAAAGCGCAAGGCTGACGTCTCCCGCTGTGGAGAAGAAAATTCAGATTGTTGTCCAATCGTAGCCTGGCACTCTTTGAGAAATCAATGCGGCCTTTAGAAGCTGCTTTCCATAAAAGAGATATCCAGACAGGGCTTTTACAGTTTTTTCCTCTCTATAACCGGGTGGTATGTGTTATAAAGTAAAGTTATTTGAAGGAGATTGGCTTGTGCTGTGATGATGTCATTCATGGCAGCAGACAGTCCATGTAATACACTATTCTCAAGTGTGTTTGATTTACACATCTTATATGACGTTTCATTTATTTTGGCAGCCGTGGTTTCAGTACGGTCATTTTCTATTCAGTTTGATAATGCGGCACAGCTCAGGCACCTGGACTTCATTTGAAGCATCAGCTATGCTGGTGAACGCAAGTTGGCTCTGTAAATAACTCACAAAATGCAGCGGAGACAAATGACCAGCTGAAATTTCCGTTGATTTATTTCAGTTTGCATCATATTTGTTCACTTCGCAAGTTCATAAACACTATATCAGAAGCAGATTCCATTGTTTTGTAATTATAACATATCATACTGTACTGCGTTTTGCTTGTTCGTTTATTAAATACTTTGGCTAATTTAATAATGCTTTCAGCTTGTAGTAAAGGTGCATTGCACATATTTGATCATGTTTCAAACCATTTTGCAGAATTCCAATGATTTTCTCTTAATCAGCTTAAAATGTGAAGATGAAAATAATGATTTGAACTGGCCTACCTATCACTTAACCATTGGTAAGTCAGCTGAAGAAGAGGTCTAGTTAAAATGAATCCTGGAATTAAGTAAAAAAAAATTGGCATACAAGAAAAATCACATCTACTGTCTATGTTGCATGTGTTGCAGTTCATTTTAAAAATAATTGACCATGCAATTTTTAATTAAAATGACATCATGATCTTCCAGTGAAAGTCTGATTAAGCACCGCCCTTTAAAAAAAAAATAATAATATCTGGGTGAAATATTAAGTCACACGACTGGAGGCAAAGTCACATTTTTATTTTTATTT